TTGCTATTTCAACGTTCCTAAAGAATTTTGTAATCATATTTTTGCCAATCATAGAAAACCATTAGGGCTCTGTACAAGTCTCTTACCCTTTATGATAAAAGATCTAGCAATTAGCACACTTCCATTTTGTTCTTCTGACTCTTTACATCAATCTCTTTCTAATTTTTCTCCATTTGACTCAAATAGTTTAGACGCTTTATAAACAAAAAAAGATTTATTAATTAATACCACTAACTTGCAATTTTACACAAATGGTTCGCTTACAAATTTAGGCCTCTCGTCATGCTATATAGGTATTGCGTGGTTACAAACTGATCCGAATTGGCCAATTATCTCCTTTAACGCTTCTTTAATTTCACATGCTCCTTCTTCCACTCTAGCAGAATTAACTGCAGTATTAGCAGCTATTTTTGTCGCTCCTAATAACACTAGAGTAACAATCTGCACAGACTCCCAGAATGTCATCTCAACTTTCCAAAAATATATCCACACAACTACTCGTACTACCTCAATAAACCCTCTCCTCAAAATTCAACACTTTCCTATTTGGTTTTTGTTAACAAATTGGATTACAAACAATAATCTGAGCATCTCATTCGAAAAAGTAGTAGCTCACAGTGATGACTTAAATAATACTTAAGTAGATACACTCGCTAAAGTGAATGCTGCTCCTTTGTCTCTTAATGTCAACATAATAGGTTCAAGATATAATCTTTTACATAACAATTTAATGATTCTTTCACCGCCCGATACTTCATCAAACAATTAAGGCAAGCTGCCTGGGCTGAAGCTTTTCTCAATCTTCCACAATTTAACAAATACGTCGATCTTGAAATTGACTGGATTATGACAACTTTTATCCTGAATGATAATAGCTCCTCCTTAACTACTTCTTTCAAACACAGTACGCTAAAGAAAAACAGATATTGCATACTTCTTGAGATGCTTCTCACTCTAAATATCCTCCACCTCAGACATCCTACCATTTTCACTTCCCATGTGTCCTAATTGTTCTATGTTTGTTAATACCTTTCTTCACATATGGTAATGTCCAAACAATAATATTTCATTGTCACAATTAGCTATAGATACGAGACGCTCTTTGCTTCCTAAACTTAGCCATTTAAAAAATACCGATGCTTCGCATGATAATATTGTTTATCAGATTAGTCAATTATCAATATGGTCTCACACTTCAAATACACATGACTTAGACTTTATCGACATGTTAAAAGGTTTGGTACCTGGTAAATTGGTATCATTACTCAACAATATCATTGCTGACGTCAGCATCACCAAAGCTTTACTCTCCTCACTATATTATGACCTTTTTCACACTATTTGGACTATTTGGACTCAAAGGTGTGATTCATTTGAAAAATGGAAATTGTCTCGAAGTATCAACAATGACTATAAATCTGATCCCCATCTTTGGATTACCTCTGGTTTCCCATCATCATCTCATATTATACCTCCTGTTTCTCCACTCTCTTTCACCCATTCAGTTAATTTTGGTTCTCATTGGTCAAATTTTTGGTTAGGAAGTAATCACGCCCCTGCTGGACGGTTGGTTTAGTTTAATTTCTTTTGTTTTATTTCTTTATTTTAGTCTAGCATGATGCAAGGTTGGTATTGATCTTAGTTTAGTTTTTTTTCTTTTCTAGATAGATATTTTTGTATTTTCTCATTTTTACTTCTATACTTGTATAACGTAAATATAATAAAGACTATATAAAACTTCCGCACTATAAAAAAAAAAAAAAAACTAAACATTATATTTTAAAAAAAAAAGCTCTCTCTCCCCAAAAATTCTAAAAAAATATTAAAAAATAAAATACTAAATTTTCAACCATATGCCTTCCAAGGCAAGTAAACAATCCACCTCACGCGACCGTTCCAAGTTGCCTGTTGCGAATAGACCTTCGACAAAAAAAGCAAAAAAAGATATCATGGAAAAAGAAACTACATCTCCAAGACAACTTCTAAACCAACAACAAGTACCTCAACAAGAGTCCTTGACCTCAAATATTTTACCTCCACCTGAACTTATGGACACAAAACCTATTTCTTCAGTTAACAACTCCTCAAAAGAAAAAGAAAAGAACTCAGAAATTATTCTAGATGAAGACCAAGCGTTCGACGCTTCAGAAAACATGCTTAATACTTTAAAAGACAACAAAAATATATTGACCTTTGAACACGACAACGATACTTCGACTCTTTACGCTTACTGTGCCGCTGAAATTTTTTTTCCTTCTAAATCCAACAAAGGAAAATGAACAAAGCTTGTGCTCTCTTTAATGGACCGTAGTTTCCAGTATTCATTAGTGCTTCAATAAAAATTTCCCCTGACAACAATACAAAGAAAATCACAGAGTAGGCTTTACATCTCGTGTTGAATACGAAAAAGCTATTGCTATGCAGATTCTTAGTTTGGATAATGCCACCTTTTTACCCCTTACCAATCGACTAATCGCAAAATTTGTTCCTGAATTGTCGATCAAGGTGACAGAGATCCCGATCTCGACTACTGAGGCGGTACTCAAATCCTCTCTTTTCTTTTTTGGTAAAATTACTTGATGTTCAATGATCACCAAAAACTTGTGGCAATAAGCCACAGTTACGTATGACGAAACAACTGATATAAAACCATTCCAACACTGTTATGGTTATTTCATTTTAAAAGATATGGTTCGACTCAGTCTCATGTCACTTCCTAACGAAGCAGTAAGAGAAAAATCAAAATACTCTCTTATTGCTTATAAATCAGTAAAAACACTAAAAGAAAGCTAATGTTGCGATCAGTTCTTTAGAATTTATATCTATAAATGAACGTATAATAGCAGAAGGATTTTAATTATGTAATAATTTTAATTATGCAAAAATTTATTTATTAAAATTAATAAATTAGTACTGCCTCAAACGTCGGCGCTCTGTACTTTACGGAGTTAATTTTATTAAATGTTGATCCTACGAAATTATTTCATTAAAAGTATCAAAATAAGGGAATATCAGAGAATTTATATTTTATTAAAATATCATGAAAGAACTTGTCTTTTTTCCAAACATCAATTCCACCACTTTTATACATTAATTTCGAAAGGACAATTCGCCAAGAGGACAAGTTGACTAGAGATCATTTTGGCCAGTATTCATTTTGGCCAGATTACTAACTTTATTAAGCAAACAATACGATCGGGGTCCCTAATACTAACGATTCATAATTTAATATTAAAATAATTTATACATCACATGCGATATGATTTAATGGCTATTGTAACACTAACAAGCATATTAAGTGAGATAAATTGAAAAATTAGGGATTTTTAAATTTCGAATTTCGATTCAGCAATTTGTAATACAATGAATAAAATTAATTATTTAAGTAATAGTTAGTTAATATGTAATTATAATAAATTTACACAATATTGTCTAAATCTTGAATATATGTCTCCACTGGTACTGTATATCCTCCAAAAATTTAATTTTTACGTGAAATACGCTGATTATCTTAGAAACGATAAATGATATAATTTGAAACTATGTATCTTTATATTATTTTATTACTTTCATAATTTATTTTATATTCTTATTCACAATATGATTATGAGTTACGAAGCTAGAAATCTAAAAGGCACATGATCCCGATGTCAAAGACCTGAAAAATGTTATCTCAAAAACACTTTAGCATTTAATAGCCAAATTTATAATAACTCTAGTCTCTTTATATCGCAAATAATCAACAGCAATAAAGTGTGAAATAAATTAATTTTCAATTTTTTTTATTTAAATCAAATTTTAATTGTCATTTTTAGGAAAGTGGGTTTCTATAAAATCACTTTTCATGTAATTTATATATTTTAAAATAAAGAAAATGGTTTGTTCAAATTCAATTAGCTTAAACTTCAATAGTGTGATTTTACTGCGGCGATTTTTTGTCTGCTTTGTGCTTAAAAAAAAAAATGATATATATTTTGTATTTGAAACTAATTTACAAAAGTATTATTTAATGAAAATAAAGATATGCAAGAGAAGCTAGGGTAAAAGAACAAGTCATAGTTTAAAACATTCATAATGATAATTTATATGAATACATTATCAAGTGTTTCGGTATTAATTTTGAGCAAAAGTTATTAAAGTTAGCGAGCTTGGCCAAAATTAATAGTTATCACAGTATTCGATCATTTGATTTTTGTTCAGAAAAATTATTTCAAATTTGGTCATGATAATTCCTTTTATATCCTTATTCGAAATTACAGAAAAAAATTTTTCTTTTTTTTAAAAAAAAAAATCGATATAAATGGTGATAAAAATGAAATTCAAGACCTAATAGAATCTGAATTCTACAAATTAAATGTCTCGAAAAACAATAAATGTTCTTATTGTAATAAACCATTTACAGAGAAATTGTAGTGTAAAGAATGTGATCCTTGGTGTATAATTGAAGGATGAACCAGTGGAAATTCTGATATTGATAAATTCATCAAAGATACTATGTATGATGCAAGACATTATGATGTTGTTGACCATTTTCTTGAATGGATGCCTTTTGATAGATTCACAAAAATAAAAGAAATTGGTAAAGGAGGATTTGCCAAAGTGTATTCTGCAATACGGATCGATGTTAAATCAGTATTCGGAAGGCAAGAAGATGGAAGTCGAAAAAAACTAGATCCTAAAGTTATGAAGGTTGCTTTGAAAAAGTTAAATGAATCACAAAATATGTCAGCTAATTATTTTAATGAGGTATTTTAATTTACATTTAAATTTCATATTTATTAAATAGTATAATTTTCTTAAATTTTTATTGAAAAAATCAGCTTAAAACACATTAGGATAATTATAAAAAAGAATCTAATTCATTAGTGTTTTATGGAATAACTAAGGATCCAGAAACTAAAGAATTTATTATGATATTAGAATTTTTACCTAATGGAAATTTGAGAAGTTATCTTTCAAATAATTTTAACAATATTTTATGGAAAGAAAAAATCAGTAACTTATGGATCATTACTTATAGCCTTTATAATTTACAAAATTTAGGTTATTGTCATAAGGATTTTCATAGTGGAAATATTTTGCAAGATAAACACAACCCTTTCTTTCATTTCAGATTTTGGATTAGCGGGATCAGCAGATAAGCAAAATTCAAATAATAAAATATATGGAGTATTACCATATATCGCTCCAGAAGTCTTGAATGGAGAATCATATACCTTAGCTTCTGACATCTACAGTTTTGATGTAATTATGGTGAATTATCAACTGGAAACCCTCCCTTTTATGATAGAAAACATGATGTGTCTTTATCCTTAGATATTTGTAATAGACTTATTCCAGAATTTGGAAAAGTAATTCCTGAATTTTATAATGAATTAGCTTATAGGTGTATGAATGCAAATCCAAATCGAAAACCAACGAGTAAAGACTTAAAGAAAATATTACGTTTTTAGTATAGTTCTATTATACATTATGAGGAATATAAAAATACTAAAGGATATGGATATTATGGAAAAGAAATAAATGAAGCATTTGAAGAAGCTGATAAAGATATTCCAAATATTTCAATTTCACGTAAAACAAATCCTGACGCTGTATATATACAAGCAGAGCATTTGCGTTTAAAAATTTGACAAAACCTATTAATTCGTCTTTTATTGCTTCATATCTTAAAAAGGATGAAAATAATGAAGGTATTATCTAAATTTATTTTCTATAGTGAAAATATAATATTAACTTTAATGCATTTTAATATTTCAAAGATTCTCAATTACATGAATTAGAACTTGCTAGCTCGTTACAATTAAAAGGTAATTTAATGAAAATTTGATATATTTAAATATAAACTAATATATATAGACGTCAATAATTGAAGGTTTTGATATTTTCGGTATTTGCTCATGAGAAAGTTTATAAAGATTGTTTACATCAGATTAATTAATTACATCATCATTATTTTAAGTTAAGGAGATTTGATAACGTTAGCATATTATTATGTAAATGATTCCTTGGTTACAGGTATCTCAATATCACAATATTTAGACTACATTTCAGATTCACTGATGATTATGTAAAAGTTTATATTTTATATCATTTAAATTCAGATTTAATTAATAAAATACATATTTTTTAGAACGTTAATGACATTAACCATGTGATCCAATTCTTGAGTTATGATCACGAAGTTGGGGTGTGCAATTATGTAAGTAAATTTTATTATTGAAGATTTATTGGTTACACAAAATAAATAACATTTGCTTAGTTCGCTTACTTTAAATACAATACTTGATACGCTAACTTTAAAATCTATAAGCTCTAATTTCACATATTTATCTTAATTTATAGTATTATCAATTTATATAATTTATCCCATAAAGTTGCGTTTTTTTGCTTAAAATCTTCAAATATACTTTATATTCTCGCTCTTAAATTTATTTGAAAGATAAAATAATAAATAATAATTAAACGAAATCTTTATCAAATGTTAATTATAAACGAACAAATTTTTTATAATTTTCGCAATATTATCATGAAGTAGGGATTGGAATCGATTCAACCAAAATCGAATTAATCGAAAATCGAATCGTATCTAATAGAATCGATTAATTGAATCTAAAAATTGAATCTTAATAAATCAAATTTTTTTATATTTTGGTGTAACAAAAATAATCATGTTACTTCTGTAACTGCGCTTCAGTAAAAAAAATAATATCAGAATTATCGGAATTGCTAAAAAGGATCAACATTGATGATCCACAACATATGATGATCGACATAAATATTACAAATTAATAACGTTGTTTATAAACTTTACATCATTTATAAACTTTAT